CGTTTCACACTTGCAACATTTATAAATTGACACCCTGTTTCAACTTTATGACGTCAGTTTTGATTGTACAACGCTTGATCCAATGCAATGCCACGCTAGCGAACAAGTTCACTACGTCGCTCATCTCCCTGAAGAACATCTGTCCAAACTTCCTTGGACACTTTCTTTAAGAAAGCAGGCAAGACTCCTGAAAAGACTCCAGCCAAGAACCCTTTAAAAAGTCTAACCAAGAGCCTTTCAAAAAGTCTAGCAAAGTCACCTCAAAGAAGTCCTTCCTAATCAATAGGATTGCTGTTTACAATATAAATACATTAATGTAGCTATATTACTCATCTATAATTGGTCGAGTACAAAATTTTGGGGTATTTTTGGTGAAAATAGGGTATCAGGCCTTGGTTCAGGAAACAATCCCCCATTTATAACCTTGTTTCTTATGAGAAAATTGGTTCCAAGTCACAACGTTTCGACTTAAGTTGTGGTTTTCAGGAGCCAATTGTGTTGTAAGTCCAAGGACTACCTGTACTCTCCAAAAACTTCCTGGATTACCTGTGTGCTACTGTGTTGCCCTCCCAGCAGATGTCAGGGTGATTGAAGTCCCCGATGAGAACCAGGGCCCGGGACTGGAAAACTTCTGCTAGCTGTTTGAAGAAAGCCTCATCCACCACTTCTTTGTGGTCTGGTGGTCTATAGCAGACCCCCACCCTTATTGCGCTCCCTTCTGACCCAAACCCAGAGACACTCAACAGGCCTACCTCCAGTTTCATATTGGAGCTCTGAGCCATCGTATGGCTCTTTTATAAAAAGTGCAACTCCTCCTCCTCCTCCTCTTCTTCGTCCCTGCCTGTCCTTCCTGAACAGTTGTACCCATCCATGACAGTGCTCCAGTCATGCAAGCTCCCACCAAGTCTCTGTTGTTCCAATCACGTCATAGTTTTGTAACTGTACAAGGACTTCCAGTTCTTCCTGCTCATTTCCCAGGCTCCATGCATTTGTGTACAGGCACCTGAGGTAACTAGTCAGTTGCCCTACTTTCTCATCTGGCTGGTGGAGCCAAAAAGTTGAGCACCCCTCTCTAGACTGTATTTCTTAACTTGTTATCATCTAGTCTGTATTTTATGGTAGATACCTCTCGGGACTGCTCAACCATCTTGACTGAATTCAAGCAGAAAGCTCTGCCCTTCTTCATTCTTTGCCTGTTATTTCAGATGTGACACGGGAAAATTGCCCCCTTGTCCCTTGTTTTGCAGAATATTCAACATTCAGCTCATGATTTTAGTCCTGCTGGTGACAAACTCAGCATTAGCCAAGATTGTGAGAGCTCAGTAGCATGGATGGTCATCTTATTGCTTTTTTTTTTTTAACCGCACTTGCCCAGTAGGGCCTTCTAGGCACTGCCATTAGACGATGCAAAATACAGTAATAATTTCAAGAAACAGAAGTGACTTATTTATTTGAGTAGAGTTGGAATATTATTGTAGCCATGATGGTCCAGGAAATGTACAAGAGGTTTTTTGTGATATATTTTATTGGACCATCTTTTAGCTGGAAAAGGTGTTGGATCAGCAAAAGAAATAGACACGGACTGAGGTGAACAATGGAAAATAGCAATGGTTTGCATTTGGTCACTACCATGAAAAGGATCAAACTTCGCCTTTTTGAGGGGAAGGGGAAAGCTGTTCCTTGGGACTTCCCCAAGAAGTGACCTTATTCAGTCTCATTCTCCTGCGAGGACCCTGTGCAGCCACATTAGTGTGGCTTCACAAAGGGCAAGACTCTGGCTTTGAGACTCTGGCTCTTCTCAGTCTCTGACTTCCCCAGTGATCCCTCGCATCTCCAATTCTGGGAGCTCTTTCTTTTTGGTCAGCTCCTGACAAGAAGGGAGTGTTTTTTTTTTTCTTTTAAAGAGGGGTATCAGAGTGCCGATTGTCTGCAATAGCACAGCAAACTCTGCTCCATTCATTTCCTCTGTCCTCATGTGGACTTTACTCTCTTCTCCCTGGAACTGTTCCTTTTCTTGCTGTCCATCCTGGGAACTTCTCTCTCTAGCTCTCTCAGAGCCTCCCTTTTCTCAAGATCCGCCAGCTACACTTCAACAAAACACTTACAGAACTATAGTCTTAACTTGGGGACAACCTCACCCAATGCAATGGATCATTATGTCATGGGGAACCTATCAGAGAGCACTCTCCATGGCCTGCAGTCAGGCCTAGACTGCCATCTGGCCCTGAGGTGAATATAGATGACCTACATTGGGAACTATTCACAGTAACATATGCTCACACTGAACCCCCACCAAAATTGTTCCCAGCAAGAACTGCAGACTAGAATTTAGCTCACTGAACTTCCTTCATTACAATCACTTGAAGCATAGAGGATGCCCAGGAAGGGGGAGCAAAGAATGGTGATCAAATTAGCTCCAAAGACAAAGGAAATGAAGTTGAATGGGTAAATTATATAGAACAAGAGTAGAACTAGCCCAGGGCACAAGGGCTACCACAATTATTCATCATGATGACGGTGGCAGTGAGGTGTCCAGTGGCAGTGAGGGGTTTGGTGGCAGCAAGAGGTCCAGTGGCAGTTGTAGGCCTGAGGGAGTAAGTCCAGGGGTAGCAGTAGTGGGGCAGGCTCACTGCTAATAGACATGTCCAGTGGGGCCACAGGCCCTGGGTTCTGTGGCACATCATGTCCCCCAACGTCCACAGGTGGCCCAGTGGGCTAGATAGAGTAGCTCCACAGATTGGATTCAGCATGGGCCATATGTTTGACCCCCCACCCCCCAATGTAAAAAAAGAATACTTTCAAAAACTAGAAGGATGATTATTACCTGTGAAATGCAAAAAAGTTAGTAGCAATAGTAAGTAGATTATCATGAGTCATAAAGCCATTAAGTCTGTGTTTAGGCCATTGTTTTTAGCATTCAGCAGAGGTATAACTGTTCAGTATTCTACCCTGCGCTGTTCTGTGCCACCTATACTGCCACACTCTAAGCTGCAGCTCTGGCTCCAACAGCAGTGGCAAGGTTGCCAATCCAAGATCTTTTTTATTTTAATTTTTTTTTTACTGACAATTTGAAAACTTTTTACTGATGACCAAACTTTTTTACTGGAACATGTTTTTGCTGAAATATATTTTACAAAATATAAATGTAACCCTTTTGCCAGGCCCTGGGCAAGGTCTGGGTTCAAATTTAGGGTTTAACACTAACCATAGTTTTTTTTGTTTTGTTTTGTTTTTTAAAGTTTGGTTGTCAATAAAAACTTTTCAGAGTATAAGTTTAAAAAAAAAAAGCATTGGGTTGGCAATCCTGCTTTACTGCAGGCAGTGTTCTATACCATACTGTCCCCACCCCAAGGGTCCCTTACTCACCATCACCCACTGATGCTCCCAACTGCAGCCTGCACCATGCTGCTCCCCCCAGCCCATTTCCAGCCTTACTCCTGCCAGCCCCACCCTCCCATGCCAGCACAGACCCCCCAGCAGTGTTACAGGCAAGATATGGGATACCACAGCAGCAGTAGTACATGGCTGGGGAAGAGGGGCTATAGAGCTCTGAGAGAATGCCACTTGCAGGATGCTGCACTGCTGCTCAGACACCAAGTGGTGTTGCTCTGCCCTGTGTGTTTTAACCACTTGCCTCTGATAAGGGATCTTTAGTCAAGCTCCCAATTCCTTAGTCTTTTACAGATGGCTCAGTAGTTTTGGGTGGCCCTTAGTACAACAGCACTCAGGGGCTATATGTAACAATGGAGGTGAACCTGTAACAATGGTAGGTACAATACATTCATACAGAAAATATGATTTTCAGGTTTTCTCTTCCAGTCCCATTTCCTAAAGTTTCCTTTCTTTCCAATGACTCATCTCTGCTTTCTCATTTTATTGCAGCAGGTGATGAGATTCTGTATGAGCATGAGAATGAGCACCTGCACCAGGACAGTCCTGAGTCAGTGGAACCAAGTGACACATTATCAAGCATATCCCAAGGAAATATATCTCAGATTCCTGAGCAGGGCAAAGCTGATGGTCCTCATTGCAGGTCAGAAAGACTTCCAAGAGCTCTTCCAGGGAAGAGTCAAGGTAAAGAAAGTGCATGCAAGGGAGATTTTAGGCAGCTGCCAGATATTGTTCAGCAGAGAAACTCCACAGTGGAAAGACCAACAATATGCAATGACTGTGGGAAGAGCTTCAGGGTGAGCTCCAACCTCATACAGCACCAGCGAATCCACACAGGGGAGAAGCCCTTTGGCTGTGATGAGTGCGGGGGGAGCTTCCGGCAGCGCTCGCACCTCATCCAGCATCAGACCAAGCACACAGGGGAGAGGCCTTATGCGTGTGCTGACTGTGGGAAAAGCTTCACTGTGAGCTCAAACCTCATTCGGCACCAGATCATCCACACTGGGGAGAAGCCCTATAAATGCAGTGACTGTGGGAAGAGCTTCATAGGGAACTCGCAGCTCATTCAGCACCAGAGGATCCATACTGGAGAGAAGCCCTATGAATGCTGCGACTGTGGGAAGAGCTTCAGTGTGAGCTCTGCTTTGACACGACACCAGAGGATCCACACAGGGGAGAAACCTTATGAATGTTCAGACTGCGGGAAGAGCTTTAGTCAGAGCTCTGACCTCATGAAGCACCAGAGAGTCCACACAGGCGAGAAGCCCTATGAGTGTGCCCAGTGTGGGAAGAGATTCTGTGTGAGCTCTCATCTCATCCAGCACCAGAGGATCCACACTGGGGAGAAGCCGTATGAGTGCTCAGACTGTGGGAAGAGTTTCAGTCAGAGCTCGGACCTCATGAAGCACCAAAGAGTCCACACAGGCGAGAAACCCTATGAGTGCACCCAGTGTGGGAGGAGCTTCAGCTGGAGCTCAGCCCTGATTAAGCATCGAAGGATCCACACAGGAGAGCGCCCCTATGCCTGTGGTGCCTGTGGGAAGAGCTTCAGTCAGAGCTCACACCTTGTTCAGCATCAGAGGATCCATATTGGAGGGAAACACTAAGAATGGGCTGAGCACAGGGAAACATTTTCCTTGCAGAGGAGCCTTGTAGCTAGAAGCTGGCCATGTTTCTCCCCAGGTAGCTGTGGGAACTGCCTTGATTGTAAAGAATAAAAAGAGCTCTAGGAAAAACATAACACATTGAATAGCATGAACAAAAACGGTAGTGTAGAAAAAGGAGCCATATAAAGGCCAGGTATATAAGGAGCCTGTGCCTGGAGCCAACAGCAGTACCAGGAGGTGCTTGAGGCCTGGGTCATTTGGGGAGGGGGAGGAGAAAGCATTTTGTGTAAGCAGTGTGGTGAATCATTTGGAGTAGATTCAGATAATTTGCAAAGAAACTTTCACAGTCTAATGGGGTTTTTATTGGGATTGCATGGGGTAGAATGAGAAGATCTGCTAATGATCAGAGGTGGGGGTGGAGAGCCTAGTGTCAGCTTGTCTCTGTGATCTCAGGTGACTTGCTTCACCTGACAGTGCCTCAGGGTGACTGTAGACGTGCAAGATGCCTGCTCCGACACTAATTGCAGCGTATCAAAGTAGACACTATTAATCGAGTCTGCTGGAGTGTGCTGATTAATACGCACCAGCAGCCTCGGCATCTCATATTTTCAGTGTCCCCACGCTTCAAAATGGCGGCAGGGGCTCTTTAGCTAAAGCTTGTCGAATGAGCTTTAGTTTAAGTGCCCCTTGACATTCAGGATGCTGAATGCATGAGACACTACAGGCACTTTAAATAGAGCAGCTGCTGAGAGCCACTCTAAAGTGCCCTCCACCACCACTCCCAGAACGTGTGTAGACACCCTCAGTTTTCCTGTTTGTAAAGCAAAGATGGTCATAAATATCCACTTTATAAAAAAAATTAGACTATTTCATTTCACTGTAACTGAAGCCTAGAGATATCAATAAAAATTGGGGCCACATTAAGTTAGGTGTTGCACAAAGAGGTCTCTGCCCAGGATTCGTAGTCTAAGGAACCAGGAATGGATCCAGGTTCTTTGTGTAGGATTCTTTGTTATGTATAAAATGAGTCTCACTTTGCAATTAACAAGTGATTTTCTTGGAATGATGGAATTAGGAGAGTTAATTTTCCTTTTTCTGTAGACCCATGGGCCCTCTCTCTGGATATTTAGATTTCAAGGAACATTGGCACTTAATTCTAGTTTAAAAATCATTGACTTTATTATCTTTAAACTTCTCAAAAAATGTATCCAAGGCAATGATACAACGTGTGCGCGCGTGCACACGCACGCGCTCTAGGTTACAGTCTACAACAGTCCAGGAATCTGAATACGCGTCTTTATGGAGTAACCCCCACAAGCGCTGGGCTTTTCTATGCTGAGCTGATAGAAGTTTATAGAGAGAAATGGGGAAAAGAGTAAGTTGCTGTTAACTGAAAGATCTCTCTAAAACAGGCAGCTTGTGGGCTACATGCAGCCCATGGGTAATTAAATCAGTGACACTCAGCCAGGGTGCTGCAGTACCCTAGGGTGTCTGTAGATCCTTTCAGGGGTGCCATGCAGTTGTTAGCACTGCTATGTGTGACAGTTTGATTCACAAGATAAACCCAAAGAATTCCTGGTGTTACATTCTGACTGATTGTACTCTTTCTGAGTTATTTGCAACAAAAGAATTGTTCTAGTATTTTTCTGTAGTCAAGAAATGAATGAAAACTAAGAGCTGGCAATTTCTGAGGGGTGCCTTGAGTCTAAAGTGAGGTGCCTCTTTTAGATTCAAGGTTCAGAACCACTGGGTTAAATGATAGCCTGCAGAGCCTGGAAATTCTGCAGTGAGCAAGTGGTAGCAGTGTTGAACCCAGCAGCTGTCAGAGCCTCTGTGTTAGCAGGGACAGCAGTGGAGGAGGAGCGGGGTTCTTAGCACTGCCACTGCTCACCCTGTCGCAAAATGGCTGGGCTGAGGGTAGGGGGGGCCTTTTGTGGGCAGCGCAAGCAATGGAGATGCAGCCAGTATGTTGAGATTAATGCTGCTCCATCCTGCCCAGCTGCTAGAGTTGAGTTTTGCGACCCACAAGAAGGCTTGTGGGCTTCTAATCCAGCCTACCAACCCAAATGAATTGGACAACCCTACTCTAAAACATCTTACATTTTTTGAGTGGAAAACTTATTCTTTGATTTGTAAATGTTAAGATTGCAAGACATGGACATTGTATTTTCCTCATTTAGTGTCAAATTTTAATTGTGTCAGTGACTATAGTAATTCTTGCCTTTTCCCAGTCTTCAAAGTCTGCTTTTACTAACCTAGGACAAAAACCTCATTTTCTTATATTTATAATAGAGAAATTTAAAGTAACTTTACTTTCTTTGCCCTTTCAAGCAAAGCATGAACTTCAGCTGCTCCCCTAACCCTGAAAGTTATGTTGACAGTAGTGTTATCAGCATGATCCTTTGAAACAAACGTGTTAAAAAAGAGGAGCCAGGCTAAAGAGCCTTTTTCCCCCAGTTTGAGGAGTTGAGCATAAATTTAGCACTCATTTGTCATAAGAAACTTTAAAATAAATCTTTGAAAAATACGAATGATATGGACAAAGAACTGCAACTATGGAAGATGGAATGAACAGCACAAATTATTCAATGGCTACCTAGTGTTTCTTTTTGTACACACTTATTGACAAGCTTGATAATATTTTCAGTTAATAAGCAACTGATGATCCTTCTGGATCTCAGTGTGTGTGTGACAGGTCACCAGGACCTTCAACACATACATTTAGGTTGGACTACAGAGGAGCAGTGGCTCCCCAGACCTTCCATCTCCCTTTTAGGGCATTGAGACAGAATCCATGACTGCAGTAATATGCATGTCTGGGAATCAAACTCACAAGTCCCACATGGTAGACAAAGATTCTACCACTGAACCACAGCAGCAGGATTGCAGCTAGTAACCAAGTGAAGATTTTGTGTTCATTCCCATGATTCTCAACTTGAGTGTCATGTGATCTTTCTAAGGGTGCTGTGGGGTGCCATGCAACATTAGCGCTGTAAAGTGTGCATACACCTCCACCTTCCCAAGATAAACCCAGAGATTTCAAACAGGAATCCACAGGAACATCCTGACCTTCCTGAAAAATATGTTTCTGGTCATACTGATTTTCATGCGCTGTAAGAAATGAGTTAGTCGTAGGGGGGAAGCGGGGGGCATGTGCCCCCCCTGAGACTGGCGACCGCAGGTGGTCGCCACTCGTCACCCCTGCCGACATCGGGAGGCAGCAGTCGTTCATGGAATTAGTGTTTGAAATGGTGTGCCACTAAATTCAAAAGGAAAGTGCCTTGGGCCTAGAAAGGTTGAGAACCACTAGCTTATTCTATACAAATCCCTTGTTCACCATTTGAAGAAAACACCCCTCCATGACTGGTCACCAGATCAGGTGACAGTTCCTTGCTCAGGGCTAGGAGAAAGCCTCCCTCGCTGTGATTTGTTATCCCAGCCACATGACAGTTCTTGTTGCAAGAAAATGTCTCTCTGTGATTGGTTAACACTGTCACATGACCAGGGCTACTGCAGCTGCTGCTCTCTGCTTTTTTCCCCAGAAGCCAGGGCTGGACAGCTGTTAGTTCTCCTCATCTCCTCTGTCTCCCTTCTCCTCTCCTCTCCTCTGGATCTGCCAGGGAGGGAACTTATTTAAAGATCCTATTGTTACCAGCCAAGCTGGGGATTGTCTCAGACTCTAACTAGCAACCTAGGGAAGCCCTGGACTCTCTGCACATGCTAACTCCTGAGCCGGAGACTCCAGGTAATTGAGAGAACTCGGGAAACATAACTATGAAAAGACCCCAATCTCCCATGTTTCTGCTCCTTGTTTGTCTGCAAGTCCCAGATCTGCTGGCTGTACTGACACACACAGGAGCTGATGCAGCTGTGGGAGAGCTGATGCCCCCGGAAGTGGAACAATAACCAAGTCTACCAGTTAGAGGAGATGGGGGAGGGACAGTGAGGGAGAGACAGGCTAAAAGAGACAAGCTTCTAGATATGTACTATGCAGACCTGCGGCAGCATCACTGCTGGGTAGATTAGTCTAAGGGAGATGAAGGAAGTGCCCTGTATCTTCCTAGTTAGTGTGTGGTGAAGTGATGCTCTCAAGGAGGTTGGCAGGAACCTGTCTTCCAAACTGTAGCTTCTGTTAATTCTTCTCTTTTATAGTGATTTGCTCAGACCCTGGAGTGGAGTGAGGATTCTAGAGACATCCTGATGCATTTAGTTTTCATGGAAGGTGTTAGGTCTAAGTAAAGTGTAGTTTCCAAGCTCATTAGGATTTCTGTACCAAAAGAAAGAGCCACTGGTTTTAAAATGGGCTGCAACTCCTTGTGAATCCTCCCCAGTTAAGCTTCTTTGAGTAGATGTGATATCTTTTATTAGACCAACTGCATAGCTGGAAAAAAGTTCTTGGCAAGCTTTCAGGCACAGTCACCCTTCAGGTATACATGGCTACAACCAAAAACCCAGTTAAGCTTAGCATCCTGGCAAGCTTCAGAACAACATCCATATATCACCCCAGATCACAAATCTCCCTCGATCAGGCAAATTAAATGAATGCAGAGGGCCTGATGCAGAGAACTACTGAAAAGGATAAGGAAGCAGTAAATTCAGGGAGGAAAGAGAAAAAATAGAACAGTGTGGCCATCCCTCTTGCAATATTTGGTAATTTCCTTATAGTTTCAGCTTCCGAGGCCCTGTGATTTATAGAAGAATCTCAGCTTGTATGAACAATAGCAGTGTTCTAGCTCTTACAGTTTGTGGCAAAAAGATTAAAAACATAACTCCTAAAAGCTGAAAACCGAGAGATTAGAGATTTAAATTTTAAATTATGATTTTTCATCAAATCATGATATTCAAGCACTTCGGTTAGCAATTCTTTAATGAAGCATAGGCAACTGTGCAAGACAGTTGAGTGGGAGCAGACTATTAGCCCTGAACAGTCCTGTTTCAGCTACAGCTCTTGCTCCAACAGGTCTGTGCTCTAGTCAGGGGTTTCCATAGCCCTAAAGAAATTGTATAGGAAAGACTATCCCCTCCTTTGGGAAGGAAATTCAGAACCTGCTCGCAGGTGTTAATCTCCCTCCATCCAGAGTTTCTGGTGTGGAGAGAAGTGTAACATAAAATTGTACTCACTTGCACACATGGGATCATCGTTTTCTTCACTATTTTTACTCTCTGATGAGCCATGATCACTTTGCTGGGTAGAAATAGTACAAGGAGCTGCTTATTGTATTCTTCTGAAGTCCCAGTTTTCAACTGACTTTCTCAAGAGCTATTTCCCTTTCATGACCTCTCCTGTAGAGATAGTCATTGCATGTTAAAAATTTGGAGAGTTCTTTGTAGTGAGCATTCAGTCAAGATGTGACAACCCTGATCTTGTCCATTTCTGTCCTAAGCAGGATTTCCCATTACTAAACCAGACATGATCTCTCGCATGGAACAAAAGGAAGAGCCATGGGTTCTCCGTGTCCAGGGCTATGAGGAAAAAGAGATTCTGAATGGCATGAGAACAGGTGAGGAATGAATGAAATGTGGAATTCCTGCAGCCTCATTGTGAGCTGCCACCATTTTGTCTTGTTTGGATGTAAACACTATTATAATTAGCATGTCCTCTTCAAGTTTTTGCAAATGTGTATCCCACTCAAGGTGTGTGTGTACACAGCTCATGGAAATGGGTTCAGAATCTTTAGCTAGCATTGGTCTGTGGGATCATATCTGCATCCTGCATGTTCTTTTCCTCTGCATCTAATGGCGTAAGAGGTGGAGTGGTCACAACTATCGTTCTTGTCACAAAAAAAAATTGGGCTTCTCCCCTGCAGTATTTTGCGTCTCTTAACTCTGTATAGTTTGTCAAAAATTTTCTTTTACCCAAAACGTATCCATTATGTTCTTAATATGAGAAAAGGCGCTTTTTTTCATATTTTTACCAGGGCGTTGATCCGTCTTGAAAGGTGGATCAAAATCCATAGGCTTTAAGCCTTGTTGATCTTGTTGTGAACTCACCAGTGGCCAGAGTTGTTGCTTGCACAATAGCTATGTACCTGATGGATGTTCATTCTGCCAGACTTCACCAGGAACTAATCTGTTGAGGAATACTTGTCTGAAGCTGTTTCTCTTGAAAAAGCCAGGAGGGCCACATTCTACCCAGAAGAGTATACCTCTGGCTCTAAAAACAGGCTTGTACCCCTGAAATCACATCGGGGGGGGGGGCGGTTATGAATCAGACTCAACCCTGACCACCAGTATTGACAAGATATCTGACTTGACCTTTCTTGATTGACAATCCGAAGCCTGTTAAACCAAGCCCAGCACCACTGGGGGTTCTTGGTCAAAATCTGATAGTGCTTCCTCCACACCATAGCATAGCTAGTGAGTTTCAAGTACCAGTAAAGACTCTTGGCACAGACCTACGCCCCTAAAGTGAAAAATCTAAGAGGCCTCAGAAGAACCAAACACCTGAATTCTCCTAGTAGCCACATGCTAAGCATTCTCAGGCAGCAGAAGCTAACAAAGTAGGGCTGTCTACCTGGTACCTCTTCTCATCTCCAAGGTCACTAGTGAATAGCATCACCACTGATATTTGAACAGTACCAATACTAGTGCAAATCCTCTAAAAATAAGCACTCCATTTTGTCTGCTTTGCCCAATCAGCCATATTTTTAATAGTAACCCTTGAGCATAGTTTCATAGTAGGTAGGGTCAGAAGGGACCTGAGCAGATCATCAAGTCCAACCCCCTGCCATGGCAGGAAAGAGTACTGGGGTCAAATGACCCCAGCGAGGTGTTCATCTAGCCTCTTAAAGACCCCCAGGGTAGGAGCCAGCACCACTTCTCTTGGAAGTTGGTTCCAGATCCTAGCCGCCCTGACAGTGAAGTAGCACCTCCTGATTATCTAGTCTAAATCTACCCTCTGCCAGCTTGTGACCGCTATTTCTTGTCCCTCCTGGGAGTGCTCAGGGGAACAGGGACTCCCCCAATGCCTGCTGGTCCCCTCTGACTAGTTCGTAAATGGCCGCTAGATCCCCCCTCAGCCTTCTCTTGTGGAGGCTGAGCAGGTTCAGGTCCCTCAGCCTCTCCTCGTAGGGCCTTCCCTGCTGCCCCCTGATCATGCGCGTGGCCCTCCTCTGAACCCTCTCCATGTTGTCCACATCCCTCCTGAAGTGTGGTGCCCAGAACTGGACACAGTACTCCAACTGCAGCCTGACCAGTGTTGTATAGAGGGGGAGGATCACCTCCTTGGACCTGCTTGAGATGCAGGTCCAAGGAAAAAGAGCATATTAGGGCTCTTTTTCCAAAACTTCCAGGAATGACTGTTCCTTCAATTCATCTTTCTGTCTCTCTTGCATTCCTTGAAGGATTCCAAATATTAATACCACATTATCAGGACAGAATCTCTTTAAGTCTGAAAGGTAGGGTTGATGAGAAGTTCTTATTGTAGCTAGCAACAACCCTCCGGCAACATTCCCAGCAAGAAATCTTTATTCCTAAAAATAAAGCACTTTTGCACTCAGTCATTCTGCTCCAAAATCCAGACAGGAAATCTAATTAAGATCCTCTTCTGGTAGCGTTGGAGTAATGTTGGGGAATGGGGTAATGCAGGCACTAAGGCACATGGCTAATAGTCTAGTGTTCAGATTTCAAAGAAATCCATGAATACTGCTAAATACCTTGTTCAAAGGCCATAGGGAAAGGAAGGAGTTGTATATAGTTCAGGAAAATATTCAAGCAGCAGTGATATCTTTTTTTTGGAACAACTGCGTGGTTGGGAGAGATTTCAGACAAGTTGCTGGGCATAGAGTACCCTTCCTCAGGTTAGTTCTTTGTGCCCAAAAGCTTGTCCAGAATCTCTCTCAACCATACAGTTGGTCCAGTAAAAGATATCACCCTCCCCTCTGAAATAAAAATCCTCTTGCTGCTACACAGAAAGGTGCAACTAATTTCCATCCTCTTTGGATGTCACCTTTCCCTGTTCTGCCAGCCTTGAACTGGAAGAACTACAGACAAATACATAATTAAAGCTATCTCCTATGAGTGCCCCATACCGTTCTAGTCTGTGTCCCTCCCCTTTCCTTTTCCTCCTTCAAGGATCCTTTTAATATAAAGTGAATAAGGGAAATGTCATCCCTATTACACAGAGCAGCCAAAAAGGATTTGCCTCATATTTTCAGGGAAAGATGTTTCTAGTCTCAGTGTTCCTGATCTCAAATCAAAAAGGGAAGATTGCATGCACAACATCACATGGTATCACTAGGCTCCATCACCCCCTTTTTTAAATAAGTTTTTTATAAGTTTAACATTGGGTTGTAATGCTCGTCCTCCATCCTAGAGGAAATACCCATGACTCAGCGTGGCACAGTCATAAGTACAAGGTTCTGTCACTGGGTCTCTGCTTTCTTGGATTTTCACAATATGCCCTTGGTGAGAGTTGCACACAAGGATTCAGGGTGTGCACATGTACCTGTATCTAAACAACTGACTCATCAAAGGAAGTTGCCATATCATACAGCTTCAGTCCTTAATCACCCCTCATAGTCAGCATAGTAATCCACAGGAGCCCTCAAGACTGAAAATCAGCAGAAGCTTATCATCTGGAAACTAGTTCATCAAGGCAGTGATCTCCAATCTCAGAGAAATTCCATCAACTAAACTATCCTGCTTCATACTACTAGATCATATGTCATCCTGAAGCTATGTGTTGTTTGTAGCCAGATTTCACCTACATCTTATACAAAATCATAAGAAGCACAGCAAGACACTGGCTTGGCTAAACAATAATCTCTTCAGTGGTTTGAGATGTATTACTAAGGATGAGAATAAGACTATAGTACAAGCATGTAAGGGAAAAATCAGGAGGTCAAGCCACAAACTGAGATACAGCTAGCAAGGGCATAAAAGGAAATAAAAATAAATAAACCCTATCATAGGGTCATAGAAAATTAGGGTTGGAAGGGATCTCAGGAGGTCATCTAGTCCAACCCCCTGCTCAAAGCAGGCCTAACCCCAACTATATCATCCCAGCCAAGGCTTTGTAGAGCCAGGTCTTAAAAACCTCTAAGGATGGAGATTCCACAATCCCTCTGGGTAACCTGTCCCAGTGTTTTACTACCCTCCTAGTGAGAGAGTTTTTCTTACCTAAACTTCCCTTGCTGCAACATGAGACCATTGCTCCTTGTTCTGTCATCTGCTACCACTGAGAAGAGTCTAGCTCCATCCTCTTTGGAACCTCCCTTCAGGTAGTTGAAGGCTGCTATCAAATCCCCCATCAGTTTTCTCTTCTCTAGACTAAATAAGCCCATTTCCCTCAGCCTCTTCTCATAAGTCATGTGCCCCAGCCCCCTAACCATTTTTGTTGCCCTCTGCTGGATTCTCCAGTGGGTGCATCTACATATCACCCTACAGTGACGTAGTGATGCGATATGGTGCCATATGGCACACTACAGCAACATAGCAATCATGTGGGTCTACATGTGATTGACAGCTATATTACTATAGCGGCACGTTCCCTGGTATAGCACACCACTACAGCCACATAGCAGTGAAATCTAACCGCGCACCATGCTTTAGTACTTCCAAAAGGAAGTACTAAAGTACAGCACCGTAGCAATGTTGCCATATGGCGATGTGCAGACACCCAATTTGTCCATATCTTTTCTGTAGTGGGCATCCCAAAACTGGACAAAGTACTCCAGATGTGGCCCAATCAGTGTTGAACAGAGGGAATAATCACTTCCCTTGATCTGCTGGCAGCGCTTCTACCAAAGCATCCCAGTATGCTGTTAGCCTTCTTGGCAACAAGGAAACACTACTGGGTCATATTCAGCTTATTGTCCATTGTAACTGTCAGTGGATCTGTACTGGGTACCCCCGAACCCCACTATTCTCACCTGCCACAACTTCGATCTTTAAACAAAATGGGGGGAGGGGGAGGAGATATTATTTACACAGGTACCCGCAGGAAGGATCATGCTGATTCGAGGTCAGATATAGTTGCTTTATTACTTAATAAGTAATAAATTACTTATTATTAAGTAAGGCCGTTGGGCTTTTCAAGGAGATAGCCTCTTCAAGGGACGTCGCTCTACCAGTCCTGTCGGCGTATGTGGGTGAGTCCCCCCTTCTGGATCTTCCTTATAATCCCTTTTTTCACCGGGCTCCTTGCCCACTTCTCTCACCTGTGGACATGCCCGAAGGCAACTTCTTTCCGGTTTTCTCCCCCATCTTATTCTTCCTTCTGGAGCCTCATTGGCTTTCTAGGGTGTGGCAATTATCTTCAGCTGTTGACCTTTCTCAGTAACAGAGTTGCAGCCGTGACTGTTACAGTAACCCCCAGGTCCTTTTCTGCAGAGCTGCCGCCCACCCAGTCAGCCCCAGCCAGTACTGGTGCATGGGATTGTTCCATCCTAAGTGCAGGACTTTGCACTTCATCCTTATTGGACCTCATGAGATTTCTTTTGGTCCAAACCTCCAATTTCTCAAGGTCACTCTGAATCCTAGCCCTACCTTCCAGTGTATC